GCTGCTCAGTTTGAAATAATCCCAAGGGCCATTATCTCAACAGTTCAAAACTAGTAAACTTACAGTAAGACAGAATAGCCCTTAAAACGTATATATCAAAGTGTAAGTGTGTGGTACTTGTTTCAATCATGCCTGGCAGGTGATTGGAGTTGGAGCACAAAACTGCAGAACACACAGTTTTGAGTTCTGACATGATTTAAAAAAGTTATAACGACACCTGCAAGGTACAAGCTCAGGGAACCAGACCTCAAAGGATCATTCCAGCTTATTTCAGCCCAGTGTAGAGCCCATAAAGGTGACCGTTGTGGCTCTACGGGCCGTGCTAATGTTGCACTCACCAAATGCACAGGATTTTTTTTATATGAATCTTTTCAAGTCTGACTGAAAGTAAACACAGAAACAGGTGGCAAGTGGAAAGCTAGCACGACCCATGCTTTTAGGAAATAGTAATAAGATAACTTGAAATGATCCTTTAAGAACTTTTGTGTCAGCCTGTCTTGGTGTTATCAGGGTCAGACACTTACACAGGGCCTTATATAGGGGCCAGAGAAGTTTAGAGTTTGTGAAATGATGTCATAACCCTGTGGTTGTGTATCAATCTTTTTAATGTCTAAATAAAATTTGTGCAAAACATATGAGGTTGTGCAAAGAATCATGTGAATTTGTCTTGACAAAATGTTGACTTTTTTGTCGCTATTGATGGTGAAGAGCCAACTTGTTTTCTGCTTTTAAAATTCACAATCTTGAATTTTCCATGCAGTTTTTTAAAAAACAGATTTACAACAGCTGATATCCAACCAGAGATTGTGAACTTGTCTCTGAACATCACTTCACATGCTCAGACCTTTATTACACTTTATTTGATACCACACTTTCCAAACTGCTTGACTCTGCTGTGAGTTTTTAAGATGATTGTTTTAATTTTGTATTGATACCAGTCATAAAGCGACTGTAGCATTTCAAGTGTGCCAGCTGTAGACTGCAAGTACCTGGATGGTCTTGTGTTTTCGTAGGCAAGTCCAGTACCTGTTTTACTACAACTCTAGATCACTTTAAAGAAGTTATACAGTGTTTCATATAAATAAATCTAACACTATCTACCAAACCACTGAAAGTGCTTCCACGTAGTATAAACCTCTAAATATATTCACATGGCCAAGTTGTTTCAGTGAAACACTGGGCTAATCTCTCTTCTACTGGAACATTTGAACAAACTCCACTAAACCTAAAGCAAATACACTGGTTAAGGCGCGACTGTGTATGGTGCTATGCTACACTGTATGCTCAATAGTGGTGGTTCCCTTATAACGAACAGCGCACAAACTGATGGAACCGCAGGGAATTTCACATCAAATTTACTTACATTGTTCCAAGAAATTTCTCTGTCATTACAGAGAGCAATGCTATCAATCTTTTGTATTGTTGACCGAATTTCAGGACGCCGATCGTCTAAATTTAACGTCAATGCAAGTATTATGTATGTAACTGTGTATAAGGTGTTTACAAATTCCCTGCATTTTTATAAATCTTGTAATCTGCACATAAAGAAGTTCCAGGCACTCACTTTGATTGCATTAAGCACAACATAACATTTTTTAAGGAGTTGCACAAATTGCAGCAGCCAAAAAGAGATATGTACATATGTTCATAGTTCTTCCTTTTTTGTACAGTACCAACTGATGTAAATACAAACATAAATATACCCTTTTAAGAACAACATTATGGCTTAATGTGCACAATGTAAATAAAGATGGTGTACAATGAAAGTGGTTAAGATCACTGGAATGGCTTTGAAAGTGTTTGAGCAGGACATCCAGATAATAACTTTGTTCTTCAAATGCAAAAGGACACATAATGGCAAACTAATAGCTCACAGAATTTACATTTTTGTTTTCTTCAAAAACAGTGTTCTTCTAACAGTCGTAATGCGTAAAACAAACAAACTGTAACATAAGTTGGAAGTGTGTAGTACATAATTTGAGTGCAGCGTTAAAACGGTCAGCCTGTTAACTACCCAGAGGGCTGACATCTGCAGCTGAATCACGTGGCTGTAAACAAGAATCAACTGCTACCCCAGAGATTCTAAACATTAATACCTATCTCCACCCTCCTGTCCTAACTCAGCTCGTTTTGTATTATCTACCTATCACTGTGAGAGTTCAGTCTTTTTCGTCGGTGTGGTTGACTCACCTTCTCCAGAGTCTGACACATTGATGGGGCTGTCCCTGGAGAAGACCTCTGTTGACTCTCTCCAAATGCAGTCAGCGACAGTCTTATACGGATGGTTGCCACACTTGGGTCGCACCTTCTGTGAGGCGTTGTTGACAATGTGTCGGCTGTTGGAGGTGGCTATTTTTATCTTGAGGGCAGCATCCACACGGTCCACTACTGTGTAAGTGCCAATGCTGCCGTCCTCGAAGCCAATGATGATATTTAGTGCTCGCTGGGAGAGAGACAAAAAAGTGGGCGTCTTGTACAGCGAGCATGTGCCAATGCTCTTACCATCAGCAAGGCGCATCACAATTAGATTGGACACAACACCAGCATCGTCGTCTTCATCACAGTTCCGGAAACAGATGTATACTAGATAGCGTCCATCTCTTGATAATTTTTGACGCCAGATTACACCAGCAGCATGGACAAGTCTCAGCTTCCCACTGTGAAGGTCCAGGACATTGATATTCTCATCACCTTTGGAGACGATTCCAAGTTTTCCATTGGGTGAGATCTGGAAGTCCTCCAAGTTTTTGAGGAAGTTGGTTGGCAGCTGGACTCGCCTACAAACCGACTCATCTGCAACACTCCAGATGAAGACAGTCTCTGTGGATGTGATGAACACCACACAGTCAGGGCAGTCCGGAATGAGCTTGAAGTTGATGATGGTAATACCGTCATCACAGACAAACTTCTTGGATACACTGCCTGACCACAAGCTGACAGCGAGGAGCTTGTTTTTGGAGGTTCCCACAAGAAAGGTGTTTGCTGTGGTGATCAGGGCATTCTGGAGGGTAACTAAAATGTTGCACACCTTGTGGCCAGTCGCGAGTCTCCAGACCCTGGAGGCATTCTGCTCACAGAGGGATACCACAAACTGGTCATTATGGGTGATTAGCAGTTGTGATATTCTCTGGCCATTGATACGGAAGATGTTTTCTCCGGTGCTGGTTTGCCAAATGTACTGACTGGACTTGTCATCTGAAGTCACCATTAGATCCCCTGAGGAGGTAAGGACACAGTTCTCCACTAGGCCCTCGTGTTTGAAGACTGTCTCAATAAAGCCAGTGTTGAAGTTCCACTTGTGGACAGCTTCTGAACCGTCCATGGTAAACACATAATCCTCTCTGCCAGACAACTGCAAGGTCTGGATCTTCTTGCCTGTTTTGTCGATATTGGACATGGCAGTGATGATATCGATGTCCCAAACAGATAGCACTCCACTGCTTGCAACAGATAGCAGCAGGTTGTGGTGGACTGATTTAATGAGTTTGACGATGGCCCCTGAGATCTCAATCAGGCTAGCCATGCACTGCCCACTGTCCCTCCTCCAGACAAAAATGGAGGAGGTGTTCTCCATGGAGGCCACAATGCTCTGTCCATTCTTTGAGAGGACAGCAGCCACAAAGCGTTCAGTACGCTTGGCTTTGAACTTCTCAACCATTTTCCATACTTTTGTGTCCAGGACCTCAATACTTCTGGCTTTGCAAATGAGAATGGAACGCTGGTCTTCAGACAGCTCAATGCCCACCACTTCACTTTCATCCCCTCTACAATCATAATCCTCCAACAACTTTGGATTGGTGATCTCTTTGGTGTTCCATACTGACAAACTACCTTCATTGTCAACCATCACCATTTGGTGAAGGGTGTCCAGAACGAGAAGGGATTTTACAAACCCTCCAGAAAACTTGGAGGTCACGGTGGCCAACTTGTCCCCATTTCCCAAATGAAAAATGGATGCAGTGTTGAGGTACTGGCCACAAAAAGCATACATTCCATCTGGAGAGCACTGGACACAAGTCACCTCGTACCAGCAATGGAACTGGTAGAGAGGCCAACCATACAGTAGGTCAATGACGTTGACGTCTTTACTAGCCTCAAGCCAAGCCAAGGCATGATGGGTAGACAAAGTAAAACCATTAATGAAAGCCACCCCATCAGTAACACCACCATGCTTGGACCCCTTAATTTCTACCTCAGATAAAAGGCAGGACTTGTGATTATCATATATGAGCAGCGTGTTTTTGGTTGTGGCCACGACCAGATACTTCTCATCAGTGGTTAGCCTGATGCCCAGCACAACAGATTTGGCTGTGTCAATCTGTCTTAGAAGTTGTCTGCTCTCTACATCCCAGGTGCTGACAGACCCATCTTCTAGGGCTACAAGCACTATGTTTGGAGCTAAAGTGGGCAAGATCTCTACAATTTGCATGTAGCTAGAGCACAAAGGAAGTCTCTCTGGACTGTAAGTGACATCCATAGAGGAGTGGAGAGGTACAATAGAGCAGTACTTTGGGCCATCTTTGTCACACTCCAGGAGAAGATGTCTGAGCTTGGGGAGGGAGGTGACAACTGGCAGAAGCCTTTGCTGCAGTTCTGCAGAAAGTGATGCTGGGTTCTTTAGCACGTTAACCTTGATGCTACGCAAAGTGCTGGCCAGGAACTTCAGTTCTTTTTCTTGGGTGTAACTGTAAGCTAGGTCAATGTCTGTCAGAGCTTTTTCAAACTGGCCAATCTTGATCATTGTGTACAGCCAGCTGAAGTTCATGATCACACCAAACATGAGGTCATCAGTGCGCCCACTCCTAGTAAGGTGGTACAGCAGCTCTGTCATCTTTCTGTGGTTGACAAAGAAAATGTCAGGCTCCAGAAGGTTGCACTGGAACACCCAAGGCTGCTCGGGAGTCTGCCTGTCATAAGAGTACTTGTCAGAAGATGTTTTTTCATGGGACTGTTGATGGTGGGGGTTTTTGTGATGAGATATGTTGAGGGAAGTGAAATGGTTGTTATCATAAGTAAAGATCTTCTTCCTGCCTCCTGACCATGCTCCCAGGAAGTACTCAGCTAGGAGGCTGTGCATTTGATGCACATCCTCCTCATTGCTAAGATACAGCTTCTGAGCAATGAGATGCAGGTGCCTGTTGGCCCAGACCATCAGGGTGATGTTACGTACTTGACGTTCCACCAAATATCCCTCCAGTTCCTCTTTGAGCTTTGCAACCAAGTCATAAGAGATCCTCAAGGGGTTTTTGAGGTAAGTTGCCACAATGACATCACCAAGAACTATGTTATCAAGAGACAGAATATCTTCCAGCTCAACCTCAGTTAGCCCAGCTTTGGCCATGGTGATATACCCTAATGCTCTGAAGACAAAACGTTGGCCCAACTTGTTCTCCACTGAGTAGAAGAGATGTTCTATGCTTTCATGCACTGTGGAGCACAGGGATCTGTCATCCACATCTTTGTGAGATCTCCAGTGAACTACTTCTCTGTAGATGAGGTTGACAAACATAGGTAATGTACACTTGGCAAGTGCCTCGTTGACATAGATCTGTTGGCCTGACGTGACTTTCCTCTTCACCCCTAGCAACTGCTGTTTTAGTGTCTGGCTGCAAACCTTACGGTCTCTCTGAATTAATTCCACATAATACCCCTCATCATGCGTAAGGTGTCGAAGTTTCTGCAGGATGCCATGCTTATTGGGCAAAGTCGAGACTATGATGCGGACCGTCCGAGGCAGGTGTATGGGGAGCCACCATAGCTTGCGAGCTTCATCAGCATCTGAGAGTTGCTCCAGGGCATCCAGGACAATGACCAAGGGCCTGTGGGATGAAGATTCTCCTAGAAGGTTGATCAGGAGTTCTCTCATTTCCTGGATCTTGTTAGGCAAAAAGTGAATCAGGCAGCGGTAGTTTATTGCAATCTGTTCACAGATGCTCTGGAGGAGGGTGCGTAGATCTGTGGAAAGCTGGGTGGAACCAATAAAACGGACAATGACCACCGGGTCGGCTTCAGGGCCCATCTCTTTCTGCAGCCACGTGTAGGCCTAAAAAATAACATTGAAAGGCGGTTGTTAGAATAAATATAGAACATTGTTTATGGATGAATTCTGTACATAGTCCAAATTTCAATAACAAATATGATGATTATTTTTGGCTCTAAACTTTAACTCAAATCAAAGCTCTACAGCGAGGACTGTTCTGCAACACTTTTAGTAAATATAGAAAACATCACTCAGTTATGTTAATTTTTAATATTCTCAAATATTCTGTTATTTTCTAGATTTTAATTCATGCGATTTTTTTTTCACCATGAGAAATATTCTGCAGCTGAGCACTAGTCCAATGTTGAAGCTTCAGTGTTATAATATATTTGTATTCATTAAATGGCCTAGCTGAGATTTTGTAAGATGTTAACATTTTATTTGACACTTTTAGGGCAACAGTAATGACGCCAACTCAATATTTAGCTGTTGGTATGTGAGAGAGAGTGGGAGAGAAAAATGGAGACGGATCATTAAGTATTTAAAATTTTAAACGTTTTCTGTGTGTATGTGCCTGTGTTTGAGGAACAGTGACAAAACTGATAATATTAACAATTATTCACTTTTGCAGAATTAAAGCTGAACTCCTGATGAAAAGTCACAATAAACAAGAGCTATAATTTATGCCATGGAATGATATTTACTACAGTGAGCTATATAATCACAGAGGTGAAAGGAAAGCTCATTGTCAGCTAAAACATTGAGGTTGCACTTCCTCATTTTGTACAGTTACTGTAAAGTTGCACGCCTTTTCACGAGCCTAATTCCCACTATTACAATAAGCCATAAATGAAAGTCTACAGAACTCTAATTAACCTGGCATACGTGTAGTAAATGCTAGCCGTTAACATGGGCCCAAACGTCAGCAGTCTCTGAAGACTCATTCCTGCATCAGCAACGTTCTCTGACTGTGCCAAAGCAACCACTGCACTGTTAGAAACCCATTACATACTGTTCTATATTCTGTTGTAATAGTCTATTAAGTGACTAAGTGTAATTTATCATCTGATATTATTCACCTGTGAGAATGAGCAGTGTTCTTTTAGAAGTTAAATTGCGATTGCATGCTTTTCACATCCATGCAGTAGTGTCTTGTTTATACGTTTGGTTCCATGCTCAGAGCATTAGACTGACAGACATATCACCGTGCAACATGAAGCTCTGCCACGACTCCCACAGAGGTAAGACTTTTTGACATGATCTCCCTTGTTCTCAGTGGATTGGCTGTAATTATACATAAGATGTATATTTAATGTGTGAAAACTTCTGCCATATTCCTACAGCTGTTTGTTGCTTGTCTACAAGGACGAGCAAGCGATTACATAAATAACACATCATGTGCTACTACATAAGGACAGAGGTGGCTGCTATGAGCCAAAGATTAGTGAAGATGAAATGATTAGTTTTTGCTCAGGTTTCCCACAGGAGGATGCAGACCTTTCATTTCTAGTGGACCCAGTGTGGCCTGAACTCAAAAGTAAAGACGCAAGTGCTCCAGAGTTCAGACATTTCAAACGAAACGGGCTGTGAGTGAATCAATTCCTGTGGACTCGAGCGCAGCGGCCCCAGAACACTTGTGCCTTCTTTTACTGTGGCTGACAACTAACCACATCCTTCTCAACTGTAGACCACACAGAATTTCAAACTGTTATTTGTATTCGATTTGGTCAATGTACTCAAGGCTGCAGATAATAAACCAGACAATGGCTGAAGTTTAATCTGTAACAGAAGACTGCAGTGGCAAAGCTAAACATGGATTAGCTTTGAACATCTCAGTTAAACTGCATGTTTGACTGCAGAAGCAAATTAAAACCAGTGGTGAATGATTAGTTACATGTAACTGGTTAATGTCATTCAACTGTAATGAGTTAGTTACTAAAAATGTAATTACAGTCACTAATCAAAATGTGGGTGATTACATTTCAGATATATTCTGCTGGGTGAAACGTTTAGAATATAATACATTCTGTTGCTTTGCATCTTGGCCTTTTGGCATATTTCTGGACAACACAGGTCAGCAAAGCCTTTGGGACAAGTTTATGTGCCACACAGTCAAGGCTATGATGGCTCACAAAGAGCTGTCCTTAGGCTCCATTCATTTGACAGCATGCATTAAAATTTGAACACTGCTTTTGATTGGTTCTCTTGTTTGACTGTGCCGCTTCTCATCTGTCAATCAAATCAGCACACATTGCTCTAAGCAGTCAGTCCGCCACGCTTGGCTGTGCCAACAGCACGAAGGAAGGTGGTCATGTAGCCAGACGAGAACGATTTTCAGTGCTGGAAATTCAACAGTATTTTTATTCTTAAGTTTGAAAATGGTTTTGCTTGGTGCCAGTTCAGTAGGCTACATGTTATTTTCATTTGTTGGAACTTTTCAGCTTTATTGCCCCGTTTAAAACATTATTTTAGAAAAGTAATCAAAAAGTAATTAAAAGTAAACAGTTACGTTACTTTGAAGTAAAATAATTATTACAATTTTAAAAGGGCAACTATTGATCTTTAACCTATTACATTTTGAAGGTGACCTTCCCAACACTGATTAAAACACATACATGTGTTTTAAAGTGGTGGTCTTGTCCTCCAGAATTTCACCAAACGATGACCTGCACAGTTTCAAAACAGATAAACACAGCCCACTCACAATATGGCAGTGATAACCAGTCACCTAATCTGTGTGGGCAGTAATTATAAAAAACACAGGTCATATGTTAACCACAATCGTTTGAATGAATCATAACCATTTTTGTAATTGTGAGAACTACTAGTCAATTTCTGTGTTTAGATATTTACCTCTCTGTGCATTCTCTAAGCCTTTAAGAGTTATGTTTGTTTTTTTTTCCAGTTTACAAAAATGTACTTTCAACTGAGGACACCATATCAAAGTCATTTTACAAAAAAGCTTTTGAAATATCAGCAAATTAATCAAGAAAGCTCCCAAGATGCAACCTAAAAACACGGTGCTATTGCATTGAAATGAAAACTGTGCACCAACTGTGGAAATGATTGGTTATTGGGGACATTTTCTTACTGTTCTTCTGTATCTCTACGCTCTGCTCCATGGGTGTAGGTACCTCTAGTTCTAAAGTTTTCTGCCACCACTTTGTTTACTTCATTTCACTCCTTATTTTCTTCCTTGCCTTCTCCAATAACTTTACTTCTGAGGTTTCAGATTAAGTCGGTCTCTTCTGTTTCCTGCTTTGTTTTATCCACCCACTTTACACAGTTGGGTAATATAAATAGCAGTTAAATTAAACGAGTGTATTAATGTGACATTTATTACAAAGGTTGGACAGGAGGGGAAGATATGTGGGTGTCTGCGGTGTGATCTTGGCTACGGTGTGGTCCTAATGTAGCCAGACAGCCAGATGGTGCACACAAAGTCACAGTGAAAAAAAGAGAACACAGTATGTTACATGATGCACGAACATTAACCTACATGCACACACTCATGCACCCATTGAGAAAAACAAATGTACAATAACTTGGCAAAAATCACCACACCACTTAAAATACTTGAAAAACTAAAGCAAACCCACCACTACAAAGTCATACACAGACATGTGGACAGACATGCACACACACACAGGAAATTAGAGATGTGCATGGCACACACACATATTGTCAAGCAAGCGTTTGATGAGAACAGATGAGCAGTTGCACGCCCCCTCATGCTCTGTTGTACAAAGATAGACACGTGATCAGACAGACACTGCAAGAGCCTGCCAAAGTGAGAGAGACTGAGGTGTAGGGTCACACACAATCAAAAGCATAACAGTAATTTTACCATCATTTTAAAATCTTCTCTCTCTCATGTCTCACCTGTTTGGCAACCTCAGAGAGCAGCAGTGTCTTCCCGGTGCAGGGCCCCCCGTACACCACTAGAGGGCTCATCCTGCAGCCCTTGGATGGCATAAGATACTCTTGCAAACAATCCAGTGACTCTGTCTTGTACTCGTAGAGGGCTGCAAAGGTTTTACAGAGGGAGAGGTGCTGCAGGATCTCGTCGTACAGTAGGTCCGTCTCCGTGTCAAAGTTCTGCTGGACTGTGGCTTGGATGATGTCCACCATGTCCTCATAGAACTGTTTACACAGGCCTTCCACATAGTGGCTCTCCACTTCTTGGGAATAGCCCAGCTTCATGTCGCAGTGGGTGACTGAAGAATAGACACGGAGGTTGGAGGCAGCAACAACTGTTGGGATGAATTCATCCCGTACCTTCAGAAGGCGTTCGTAAGCTTCCTGGTTGCGCATGACACGATCACCGCTGACCACGATGTCCATGTATCTGGCCATCTCCGGAAGCTTGGCGAATCGGTCGAAGTTGGAGATCTTGCGGATGTAGCAGACGCACTTCCTGAGAAAGGCAGGAGTTTGTTTCCCAAGTGCAAAGTCTAATTCATCCTCCAAGGCTGGAATGAGGGAAAATACAACTTTATCACACTTTAGTTGAAAGAAGATTCTTATCTGATCACAAGTTCCCACTTTTTAAACTTACTACATTCTAATATGGCCTACAGTAATTCTATCACTGATCTAAGCTGTCGATAAAAGTCACCACTGGGTTATAATGTACAACTTGTCACGTAACAGATGTGGAATTTAGATTCCTTTCAGGAGCAAAGCTGAACAGATCTGAGAGGCTTTTATCCTCCAATTAGACAGACTTCTCTTGAGTCTTACTGAAGAAGAAACAAAGTTGACAAAATCACATCAGCTAGCACCACTGAACTGTATCACAGACTCCCTTCAGAAAGAACTCTGCCAGCATCTCCTGTGCAGTTTAGCTCTGTAGCCTGATAATTATGTGGAGGAGAGAAACTGTGAAAGAAAAGTTGGGAGCTGGAGGAGATGACACAACTCTCTCTATACAGTACAGTCAGCTTAAAGCCCAGTGTGCTCGTTAAAATCTCGACAAACTGCAGTTTCCTGCCACAATGAATTAATTAGTAAAAGACTACGAGTTGTGCCTAATCTATAAAACAAGGCAAGGCACAGGTCAGAACAGTAAAACAAAGACTTGTCGTCAGAGCCTGAAGCTTATTACTTAGATCGTCTCCCACAGCGACAGCTGCAGAAAATAAACAGATGCATTGAAAGATTCGTTCAGCGCTGTCCAAACAATCCAGTAATAACTGGGTGATTCCTGGTGGTTCTTTTACAGACAGGTACTGATATGAGACGGAAAAAAAAAAACAGCGGGAGGCACAAAAACAGTTTTTAAAAACCGATTCTTTGTGTCGATGTTTGATCCTGATAGGGGAACTCAGAAAACCGAGGTGGAGAAAAATAATTGGTATTTTCTGTTATGTCAAGAACCACACTGAGTGGCAAATTGTTTTTTTTATTTTGACTAACACACACAATGGAGATTAGTTACTGAATAAGTAGCTGATAATCACTGAAAATATTGCATGATGATATTACAACATAAGTGAAGAATAAAAAGGGGAAAGGTGACCTTGAGGAACCACTTAGCAAATCCCATCAGAAAACAATGCTTTTTCCGTTTCAGCCTGACGTTGCGACTTGCTGCTCGGATTAATTACTGAGAGCTGAACACTACCGTGTGATCGATCCATCACTGTCGTCTGCTGAGCTGAGTCTGAGACAGATCCTGATTGCATCTCAACTCATGTTATCAGTTTTGTAAGTAGATGACGAATGAAACAACGACCTCACTCGTTAAATATCTGGCCTTCCTCCTTAAAGGTTACATTGTCAAAAAAATCATTAGTTTTATAGCAAAGGCTTTTTTTTTCCTTTCGATTTCACCCTACACAGCCCACCTCTGCTGTAAAACAGCCTCTGCTATGAAATATTGTCTTAAACACACACATATACTACACAACGTATCTATATGAAACTGTATTTCATCTATTTCCTTTACTGTAACAACTAGAGCTCAACTGATGACTAGTTTTATAAATTGTTTGGGTCATAAATTGTCAAAATAAATGTAAAATATACAATAATATGGTTCTCTCTGCATTATATTGTGTCCTTGTTGTATTTTTATTTCGTTCCATCACTTGCTGCTTAAAGTGCCTTAGATTTGTGTTCTTGCTCATCTACGTTATATTTCACTTGTATTTTGTGGCATTCATGTGGACGGCAAAGTAAGAATTTCATTGTACAGGGAAACACGTTTCCTAACTGTGCATATGACAAACACTTTGGACCTTTGACCTTGACCTAACGCTTCATAACAAAGCACAAACTGACACAATTCAGTTGCCTGTTTCGTTATGATGAAAGCAAATGATGAAAATCAGCAAATCTTCACACTTGAGCTAATTTTTGGCATTTTTTTGTTTAAAAATATCTTAATAACTGAAATGGATCCCATTTAACTGTCTACCAAAAATACACAATGTGGCTGATATATATATATATATAGATGATAATTAAATATAAAAATGAAAATATCTAACAGAAATGCAGAAAGAGTGCTGTGCATCAGAAAGCAAGACATGTTCCAACTTGAAAAGAAGCCATCAAAAGATATGAAATGAAGAGATGAAAAAGAAAGACAAAGTCGATCTGAAACGAACCAGAGCAAAGGAATTTCTTGGCCTGAGTGCTCTTCATGGTCCCCTTCTCTTGAAGCTGCAGCACCGCTGTTCGGAAGATCCTCTTGATCTCCTCCGACACGTTCCTCCAGGCCTTGTCATTCTTGGTTTTGGCTGCGCTGCTTGACTCCATCTAAGCAGGACGGGTGGGGTGGGAGACAGACAAGAGGGCAGAGGCCTGTCATATACAGAGGGGATGTTGTCATCCTCGTTTGCTCGTCTGTGTTTAATGTGAGGAACGTCAGAATGAGGCAGTAATTTTTCAAATAAACTGGTAAAAACTTTTAGAATTTTACAGGGATGACTGAATTTTTCAATTTTATCATAGAACAACTTTCAATTCAGATTGTTTTGAGCGTCGTATAGTATTAAAACATTGCAGTGCCCAACAATATATGACCCGAGTGAAACCCAGGGCAAAGACATCATGCAGTTTAAAAAAAACAAACTCATCCAGATATTTTATTAGCACTATAAAGTTGTGGAGGAGATAAGGCTTTAATTAAAATTAACAGTGCTGACAGAATTGGTGTTAAATGTCCTTTATGAGGTTATTTGCAAGTATATACATTTTATAGTTTTATTTGGTAAACATTAAAGCACAGGAGTCAAAGCTGATTTTCTTTTCTGTGTGTGCATGTAAACTGTTGGAGAAGGAAGCTGATGAACCATGGAGCTCAAGGACAACAATCTGTTATCAGATAAAAATAAGTCAAGCTATAACCACCAACAAATCCCCTTTCTGCTGTTCCACAGTGGCTGCCATAGCAGGCTAGTTGGACTTACAGAGTTCTGGTAGTTCTTAAGCATTTGGGCTTTAGGTTTGAGGTAGTATGCCGGTGGCACCGAGTTTTCGTCCCTGCAGTACCACTCTTCCAAGATGTGTGTGTCCAGTCCCGCCTCTACTGCTGCATCCAAGATCATCTCGAACTCTGATGATTCCACCTCCCCCGGCACACGAATGCTGCCGTACTTTTCTCCCACCAGACCCTGAGGACGGGAAAGGAGACAGAAAAATAGAGGGCAGGGAAGGTGAGGGACAGGAAATGTGTATCATCATGCACTTTAAAACTGTTTTAGGGCTCCATTTTTTGGATCAGTGGCGCAGGGTGAATGGAGGAGTCGATGAAGCTCCCAGTTCAACTTATTTAAAGCAATTTTCGAGCCACAGGCGTAACAGCGATGCAGATTGGACCGCGTGCACTGTGATGCACATAGACAGCTCTGGCTTGGATAGAAATTGCTTTACCCCACAACCACATGCTGTATGTACACCATGCAGTTTAGGTACTTATCTGGTGAGGTTCAATACCAATCCCTGCTCATAAGGCGAATCCCAGTTCACCTAACTACATCCATGTTTCCCTCACTTGCTTCTTTTCCTTACATCTTAGTCCTGCCCAGATAAGATGCAAGAAAGACATGGAAGAAGAAACTGCAAGGAGAGAGGAATAAGGAACCACGTTTTAAGTTAACATGAGACGTCCTTTCCTTCGGTCCTTCATGTGAAGCGTTCAATCACAAACCGATTTCCAATAAAAAGGGGCGTGTCAATCCCTAACAGACTTCTGCAAAGGATGCACTCTTGCATCCTTGGCTATAGCTCCTCCAGGTAGTGTCCTCGTTCCTCAGAGCAGAAATAAGAGCTTTGTTATGTCCATCATGACCAACAGGAACGACTTCTGGGTTAAAAGAGGATTGTGGAATTGTGGAACACTGTTATGTAAAATACACAGCCTTGGCCAACTTTCCTATAATGTTCAACAATCTGTAATAAGAAAATGAGCAGATTTACTTTATATATAGAACAAATGGGGCTGTTTTAAATGAAATTAATGACCGGGAGGAATGTAGATTTGTAAAAATGTTGTCTGTGACTGATTTAAGTGTGCTTCTGTGCTGTAAGAAGATGTTATCATCATCATCTTCACATCTTAAATAGTGAAGCCAGCCTAGCTTCATTAGGCATCATGAAACACAGCCCACTCTCTTCTCCCACTCCCACTCCACATGGCATATCTGCTGTAGGCTCCAAGGAGTCTCCATTCTTCCCATTGGCATCTTTGCACATGCTTTTGAGTGACAGCTGATTCAGCGGCATTGGAAACGATCAGGGCACAATTCATGATGTGTTGTATCAGTGACATTCGAGGAAGACGGGCAAAAAAAAAAAAAAATAGTGGAATCTGTCGACTAGATGACCAGCTGATCTTTACTCCATGTGTGCAGAGTGAGCGAGAGACAAGCCAAATGACTGCGAGCGCCGATAAACCACGCTGGTTTGCTTACAGCAGTAATGCTTCACTGCATTCCATGTTGGACTCCTTGTTCCCTTGGCATTCGCAGTGGGAACAGATGCAGAGAGCAAGCAGAATCAGATGATGGCATGTGGCCTGGTCTGTAGGACTGCCTACTCTCCAAACCCACAAACGCCTGTGGTAGATTCATTTACTTTTACACAGTTCTGTGGCCACGCTGCACAAATTTGGTACCAAAGGTTCACATTTTACAGCTTCTTTCGTTTGTAGGAGCTGAGTTACTGTGCATGTTATCAGTTGTTTTGGAGGAGGAGGTGTCGCTTAAATTGTTGCATATTGCATTTTGTATCCAGACACCTTGTTTTTAATATAAGCATTTAGCTGATGCACTCAAAACTGTACAGTAGATTAAATGTATGTACCCAAAAAGAAAACAATAGGCTTAAGAATAAAATGAAGCTGACTCTCCTGTGACTGGAATATTCAGCTATGTCAAATATAGCAAAGCAAGAGCTGAGCATATTGAAAAGACGGAGCCAAGAAGCAAGCACAGGGAGAAGGTGAATTCCCCATGTGTGCAATGCTTTGTGCTCTCTTCCTGCCAAAATAGTCTAATAGGTAAGTAGGGCAGGCCGCTCACTAGCTCCAGTTGTGAACGACAGGCTTCAGTGACAGGTGGACTCGACAGAAGAAAAATTTAATAGCATTAATCTTATATAACATTTATACCCAGTTATCTCCAAAATAAAGTTAAGAACTAAAGAGCAAAACAACTAAAGAAACCCACCAAAAACACTAAATAAACTGATTCTAAATTAAACTAATACATAAAGCTGTCAGGTTTGCCCGGCTGCACCTACTTTCTCACCTTCCTCACTCTGTTTTCACTCCCTTACCCTCATTACGTTATCCTTTACACCTGCTTCTTACCCCCAGATTACCACCAGCTGCACCTGATTAGTTTCTCCCTATTTAGTCCCTGCTCTTCGTTCACTCCCCTGCCAGTTCTTTCTAGCATCTCTCAGGCCCGTTTGTGCCCT